ACTTTTAAGAGCCGTGCAGCTAAAGAAGCCGCTCTTGAAACACCTTTTGTCGTGATTGCCGGTCTCAAAGTGTTCTTGGGCGACTGCGAAAATCGTTTGGTCCTCGTCAAGATCCATGAAGCCCCCGCTGAACTACCCGACACTGCCGTGATTGGCCGACTCAGCCACTACGGTCGTGTCCTTTCATTTCGGCGCGACAAAATTGCACAACATATCGAGAATGGAGTAAGAACGGCTCGAATGGCGCTACATCGAACTATCCCTGCCAACATCAACATAGCTGGTGAACCTATTAAAATATGGTACCCAAATCAGCCAAAAGCTTGCCGGAATTGTGGAGCTACTGACCACATGGCCAAAGACTGCTCTGCAGTCCGTTGTTTTAATTGTGAATGCCCTGGGCATCGAGCTCAAGAATGTAAAGACTCGCCAAGATGTTCCGTTTGTTTAGCGGACAACCATTCCATGCCTCAATGCCCCTTCCTGCTCTTCAGCGCGAACGTCGATAGTGAGCCAACGCCACCTAAAACTGAAGAGGAAAAGAAACAAGAGCGAGCCCAGCGCGCCAAGGAAAGAGAAGAAAGGCAGAAAAAACTACAACAACAGAGAGAACAACAGCGACAACAAGAAGAACAACAGAAATTACTAGAAAAGCAGAAACAGCAAGAACAACAGAAACAACAAGATCAAGAGAAACAACGAGAACAACAACGCGACGAAGGTAGAAGAGAACGACCAAGAGAACGAAGAGACGAGCGAGGGAGGGACGATCGAGAAGAACGAAGAGATGACCGGAGAGACGACAGAAGAGAGAGAGATAGAAACGATCGAGATTATTATCGCGGCCGCGATGACCGCGATAGATCTTCCCGCCGTGACTACTCTGGCTCCGAAACTGATGATGATGGATGGCAGAGAGCTAAACCTAGGAGAAGGCAGTACAGATATTAAATCTTTTTTTCTATTCAATGAGCAAGCTTAAAATAATTTCTCTAAATGTGCGGTCCTCCAGTTAAAGTCGAAAAATTATTCAAGAATTAAATTATTCAAACTGTGACGTAATCCTTTTATAAGAAACACATGTCTCAGGCAAAAAACAAGTGGAGGAATTCGAAATACTCTGGCGCTGCAAATGTCTGTGCTTCTTCAGGACTGGCAGGTCTACCAGTGTTGCCACCCTTTTTTCTTTAAACCTCCCAGGCACCAACAACAGAATGCCCTTCAGCTACTACAGAAAAGGATAGTAGAGCTGCTAGTGCTCCAATGTGATGGATGTCAAAAGTGGAACCACAGAACCTGCAATAGTGGTATGTAATTGTTGCCACCTGTTTACGTATGTGTTTTCATGTTTTTATGTTGGTCAGGACCTGGGATGGGTTGTTCAATTGGAAATCCTTAGTTGAAAATTAGCAAATTATTGTTATTACCATTAATAGGGATATCAAGACAAGCATACCGTGCTGCTGTTCAGACTGACACAGAAATAGAATGGCATTGTGAATCCTGTGCTTAGAGTGGAGCATCCCTGGAGAGCCTATTGCTGCGAGCTCTAGACTGGAAAATTCATTGTCTACCAGCTGCAGCCCTGAACCCCTCCACCCACTGACAATCGAGGTATCATGAATTTCGGGGGGAAAATCGCTCGGGCGCTTAAACCCTTTGAAAACAAGGCTTCCACCCTTGTCTTTCTTTTATGCATTACATTGACGACGAACTCAGACTTATTCAAAATCGCTCAAAAAAAACATTTTTGAGGCAAAAGGACGACTATACACCACAGGTAAAGTAATTCAACGTTTATTTATTAATGATTTATGTACATAGTCAGCAATATATCACTATAGGTGAGGCAAACGGTAAATCTGGTACATTCACTATAAAACAACAGTCGGCTACACAAACAGATTGTATGGGCCCCCTGTGGAGTCGCAAAATATAAATTGTTGATAACCTATCGACTAAACTAAGCGGCCTCTGGCAGATATTGAAAAAATTTTGTAGGTTTTAATAACAATATATAAATACATACGTACTGGTAGACATTCTACAACAATGTCAAAACGCAGATTTTTTGTTTTCCTCTTCGATACGAATTAGCCACCTATTTCCCTCAGAAGATGTGTATCAAGATAATTTGCGGAAGCAGAGCGCCTATAAATATAGTCAGCGCGAATCTTGTATTCGTCGATTTCGAGAGCAAAGCGCCTAAAGAAATTGTCTGCGAACCTTTTTTCGCTTCGTTTCGTTTCGCAAACTACCATAACCCGGCCGTTATTGGTATTTTGCGAAACAAGGTGTAGTGTCGCAAAATCTTTAACTGTAACGGAACAGACTCAGATATACAAGAAGACTCAGTTTACACCGAAAGTAGACCGATCCAACGTATCTAAAACGTCATTCGGCTTAGCAGCCAAGCCTGCAATATCCATGGATACCCGGATATAACATCCCATCCTGACCTATTTAAAGTGCAAAGTCCACTATAACAACGCAACTTAATGTACAAGAACTAAAACAATGTTCTAGTCATAAACAAAGTCAGCATCTCTCTTTGGCTTGGGTGTTCGAGTTGAACGTCTCAATTCCATTACTGAGTCGGTAGGACCACTATCTGCGGGATTCGTATCATCTGAGAGTGTAGATCCGAGTTGATCCAAAGGAGGCATTGCTGCCCCAGCTAACTCTTCCAACTCCAAGCAGCCGTTGTCATTGTCAGCATTAACTGGTAGCTCTATGCGTGGAACTCTACTAAGAAACTTCATATTACGAGTGAGATGTTGTTGTGCATGTTGCTTGGCATCAATATACTCACGTAACTTCCTCTGGTATTCCTTGTACCTCTCTTCAGGGTTGTTCTGATCCATTTCTGTTACTGTTGGCGACTTTGTTGTTATCTCTCTGTTGAGAAACAGTTTAGCCGGGGTCATGTTAGTCCCTGCATGAGGAGTGGATCTGTAAACTTGCAGGATTGTGGGCAGAACCTCTATCCAGGATAGACCATCTAACTCTGCTGCTCTGATACTGTGCTTTAGGTACCTATCAAATCTTTCGACCTGCCCATTTGCTTGTGGAAAATAGGGTGATACTCTTCTGTGCTGTATTCCATTTGCCTTCATGAAGTCTTGGAATTCCTCAGCTACGAACTGACATCCATTGTCAGTGATCAGAACTTTTGGATTTCCAAATCGTGCAAATATATCTGCAAGTGTAGTGACTATACTCTCACTTGTAATACGCCTCGGGCCATTTACTTCTGTAATCAACAACAGTCATGATACAATGAATATATGAAGTTCATATATTTTGAACCGCCGTATTAGATACGTATGATGCACGATCCTCGCAGTAGAGAGCGCTATTTATGCAATAGCGAAAATCAGACCTGTACGGGATTCGAACCACTGACCTCTGCGATACTAGTGCAGTGCTCTACCAATTGAGCTAACAAGCCAACTGGGAGTAGGCCGTTAAGTTGATTCGTAATAAACCCGTGATAATAAATCAGATACAATGAATATATGAAGTTCATATATTTTGAACTGCGGGATTAGATACGTATGATGGCTTGTTAGCTCAGTTGGTAGAGCGCTGCACTAGTATCGCAGAGGTCAGTGGTTCGAATCCCGTACAGGTCTGATTTTCGCTATTGCATAAATAGCGCTCTCTACTGCGAGGATCGTGCATCATACGTAACAATCATGATGTAGATCTCTCCAGGAAATGGACCTACCAGGTCAAGGGCACACTTCTCACAGCAGTAATCGGGAAGAGGAGTTGCTGTATTAGGTGTGTCTCGTCGTAGTGGCTGAAGGCGCACACATGTCTCGCAATTTCGGCAGAAGTCTTCAACGTCAGAGTCCATCCCCGGCCAGAACAGGATTCTACGAAAGCGTTGCTTGCAGGGCACAATACTTTGATGAGCCTCATGTGCCAAGGTCAATGCCTTTTTTTTCTGAACTTCTCAGGAACATAAATTCGTCGACCTCACCATCGGTAGGCCCTGTGCAAAGCTCAGTTCATCTTTAAAATGTTTCCATTTATTATCTACCAGGTTCTGGGTTCCATCAAGTACGTTCACCACCTCTAGTAATTCAGGGTCAGACTCTCTAGCCTCTTTTATTTCATCAATTCAGAGCAAAGCATCAGCAGTTTTGACAAAGTGTACATGCTCCTCAACAAAACTTGTTTCTGTAACAGTAGTGTTCAAAGGTGACCTTGACAGTCCATCTGCAATGTTCTCAGATCCAGGTTCATTAGTGAGTGTGAAGTCATAGTCCTGACATCTCAAAGCAATCCGTTCAAGGCGAATTGATTGAATACGCCAAGCAGTGGTTTATGATCAGTCGAGACGACAACGTGGCGACCATAAATGTAGGAATGCATCTTCTGCAATTCGAACAGCACAGCCATTGTCCCTCGTTCGATCTGTTAATATCTCTTCTCTGTAGCAGTTAGACTTCTGGACGTATATGATATGGGTATGGGCTGCCAACATTTTGCAGCAAGACACACCCCAGACCGACTGGGCTGGCATCTACTACAAGTTTGGTCTCGGCTTCCAATGAGTAGTGTGCAAGGCATGGTGCTTTAATCAGAAGCTCTTTAACTTCCTCAAAGGCATTGGATTCTGTTGTACTCCATTTCCACACCCCACCCTTCTGCGTAAGATATCGTAAGGGAGTGATCACTGTTGCAAGGTTGGAAACAAACTGTGTAAGGTATCTAATACTTCCCATAAATGATCTCAGTTCAGCTTGGTTTTAAGGTAATGGTGCATCTGCAATGGCTTTTACCTTGTCAGGGTCAGGCTTAATGCCCTCAGCAGAGATGACGTGTCCTTGAAATTTCAGCTCAAACATGCCCAAGGCACACTTGTCTGCATTGAGACGAAGGCCACAGTCTTGAAGTTTATCCATAACTGCACGAAGATTCTTCCAGTGTTCTTCTGGTGTTTACCCATACACCACAACATCATCAAAGTAGCTAAGCACACCTGATAAGCCTTCACACACTATGCTCATGACCCTTTGGTACACCTCTGGTGCTGACGCAAGTCTGAAGGGCAGCCTTTTGAACTGATACACTTCACCTGCGGCTATGAACGATGTAATTTCTCTCGATTATTCCGCTAGGCGAACCTGCCAACATGCTTTCCTTAGATCCAGAGTCGAAAACATCCGAGCCCCACTCAGTTGCCGTAACAGGTCTTGGATTCTAGGAATTGGAAACCGCTCTCTTATCACTGCTTTATTAGCTTCCCTGAGATCAACGCACACTCTCAATTCTCCATTCTCCTTGTAGACAATCTGCACAGGTGATATCCACGATGCTCCTGCCGCTTCTTCAATCACATCTTCTTGGATCATTCGCTCTATTTCTTGTTTCAATCTCTCCTCTAAGGGTGCTGGGACTGGCCTTTGTTTTTGTACCTTGGGAGGGACATCTGAATTGATTTTAATTTTGTACTCATAATTCTTAAAGTCTCCGAGCTCTTCCTTGAAGAGATTTTCATACTCCTGATAGATCTTCTCCCTCGCCTTGGTTGGGCTCTCCCCTACTGCATGGATTTTTACAAGGTTGAGGGTGGACAGGGCGCTTCTTCCCAACAGGGGGGGACCTTCCACATCGATCACATACACTGGCTCCATTACTTCCATCTTATTGCATCTCAGTTTAGCATCAAATACTCCTAAACACTTGAGGTCTCCTCCACCAAAAGCTGAGAACTTGACATTGGTTGGGTTAAGAGGAATGTTCAGGTTGTTTCTAAACCACTGTTTCGGGATCAAGGTTTTAGCACAGCCAGTGTCAATCATCATTTGAACAAGTTTACCATTGATTTCAACATCAGTTTCAACACCCAGCCCCTCATTATTAGTAGTATACCAAACATATTCAGGGTTAGACTTATCTGACTGTTGCTGGACTGGCTGGCAAAACGTCGTTCGGCTTAGCAGCCAAGCCTGCAATATCCATGGGTACCCGGATATAACACAAGGCATCTAGCGAGGACAGTTTTCGAAGAGAGGGAATAATTTCTTGTCGCGTCTGTAAGCCTGTCTTTGCTTTATCTAGCAAGACAATTTTCGGGAGCAGAGCGCCTAAAGAAATTGTCTGCGAACCTTGTTTCGCTTCGTTTCGCTTCGTATCGTTTCGTTTCGTTTCGCAAATTACCGTAAGCTGGTCATATCATCACCAAGAAAGAAACAGCTGTACTCAACAATATATATGAGAGGCGGCTAATAGCACAGCTGGGAGACTTTTATCAAGCGATTCCGGCTGTCGGATTCCATCAGCTCTTACAGAAAGTTCTACAGTTGCGAGACGGCGCTGCTAAAGTTAATTGAGGACTGGAGGGCTATGCTCGATAAAGGGGAATTAGTTGCGGTAGTCTCAATGGATCTTTCTAAGGCTTTCGATGTTACGTATGATGCACGATCCTTCGCAGTAGATAGCGCTATTTATGCAATAGCGAAAATCAGACCTGAAAAAAATCAGGCCTGTACGGGATTGGAACCACTGACCTCTGCGATACTAGTGCAGCGCTCTACCAATTGAGCTAACAAGCCAACTGGGAGCAGGCCGTTAAGTTGATTCGTAATAAACCCGTGATGATAAATCAGATACAATGANCATTACTGAGAAGAATGCCGTTGCAGAGCTTTTTAATAATCACTTTATTCAAGTCGCTAACAGTGTTGCACGGATAAATGACAGTGACTATGGACAGGACTTCGAAAATCATCCTAGTATTTTGGCCATTCATGAACATTATAGGGACATCAATACGCCACTTTCTTTTGATTTTCACTGTACCAACGGTGTGCAGGTTGAAAAATTGCTTAAAGAAGTTAATGTGAGCAAGTCGAGTGGTCACGACATGATACCGCCGCGACTAATCAAAGCATCGGCAGCTGTGATAGCTGAGCCCATTGCTCATATGTTTAATGCCTCAATTGCTCAAGGTTGCTACGCGAGTGTATGGAAAATGGGGCAGGTGACACCGCTGTTTAAGAAGGGTGATGAATTTAAAAAAGAAAACTATAGGCCTGTCACAGTCCTACCTGTACTCAACAATATATATGAGAAGCTGCTAATAGCACAGCTGGGAGACTTTTATCAAGCGATTCTGTCGGATTCCATCAGCTCTTACAGAAGGTTCTACAGTTGCGAGACGGCGCTGCTAAAGTTAATTGAGGACTGGAGGGCTATGCTCGATAAAGGGGAATTAGTTGCGGTAGTCTCAATGGATCTTTCTAAGGCTTTCGATGTTATTCAACACAATCTACTTTTAGCAAAACTCAAAGCTTATGGTGTGGGAGAGAGAAGTTTAGCACTCTTCAAGGATTATTTTTCGGGGAGACAGCAGAGAGTCAAGATTGGGGACACCTTTTCCAGTTGGAAAGATGTTAAAAGAGGAGTTCCGCAAGGAAGTGTTTTGGGGCCTGTGTTTTTTAATATATTCATCAACGACTTGTTTTACTCGGTTACGCAAGGTAAATTTCACGCATATGCGGACGATCATCAGTTATACTCTTCTGATGTCGACCCAGTAGCTCTAGAGAACTGTATTTGTCGGGAAGTGAGAGTTGCAAATAAGTGGTATCGCAGCAATGGAATGATTGTAAATGAGACAAAACACCAGGCTATAGTCTTGGGAAAAACAGGCCACTCCTTCTCTTTTCCATTAAAAGATTCTTTGGATATATTTGGAATAAATATTGACAATAGGTTGCGTTTTGATAATTATATATCAACTATTTGTAAGAAGATAAATGGCCAGTTCAATGTAATGCTAAGATTTCGTAAACTTATCTCTAAAGATACTCTACTAAGATTGTATAAGGCTTTTATTATGCCACATTTTAACTATTGTTCGTCTGTATGGCACTTTTGTGGTGCGCGTAGTACTGAGAAGATAGATACTTTAAACAAGCGAATTCTTAGAGTTATCTTGCAGGATTATAATTCTCCCTATGACTCTCTACTTAGCAAAGTTAACTCCAAATCTCTGTATAAAAGACGCCTTCAGACTTTCTTAATTATATTGTACAAGAGCTTGTTTTTTAACTGCTATCCAGGCTATCTAAGGAATATGTTTAGTTTCCGGTCTGTATCCTATAATCTACGCGGAAATTATATTTTGTCTCTACCCTCTACAAAAACTACTACTTATGGTCTTCACTCCTTTTCATATATGGCTTCAAAACTATGGAACTCTCTTCCGGACTCTTTTAGAACGTCTGACTTTTCTGATTTCAAGCGCAAGATTCTACAGTATGACTCTTTTTACAATTTTACATTTTACATTTTAGTACTTTAGAATTATAATTGTAACTCAAAGATACTAGCTTATCCTTTAGCTACTCCAAATTCGAGATTAAATAAAGTACATGTATGTATGTATGTATGGATGGATGGATGGATGGATGGATGGATGGATGGATGGATGGATGGATGTATTAAGAAGTGCCCAGCCTCGAGTAAGGGCCCACCGCCCTTGAGGACCAAAAATCTAATAAGGGCACAGAGTGCTTACCGTATTCGAAGAAATACGGTACTTACATTGCCGGAAAGCAATGTTTGAGAACACTCTTTCCTTTTGGGGTGGAGTTCCTGTTAGTGTTTAGAAAAGATTCGCAGTTCACTTATTGCATCACTTATGATATTTTCACTTACAAAGTATGGTTTGAAAATAACTTTCATCGTTCGATAATGAAAGTTCTCTATTATGCTATCGGCTTCTGTAAAGAGAATCAAAACGTTTTTATCTGAACAACATGCAACAAAAAGAAACAAGAATTCAAAGGATTAAATGGTCGACAAATTCAAACTCACTGTCGTCCATTTTGTACGCCCAAACCCAATGCAGATCTGTGCATGTGCATGGATTTACTGCTGGACAAAAAACTGTGGAAAATCAGGACTGAGCCACCGGGCCTCCATTGCGCAGGCCTTTGTGGGCCGCTGGGCTTTTGGACTACCAGGCCGCTGGGTCGCGGGCCTGCTTTTGGCAAAATCCCTTCCACAATATAATTCTTTTTATGGCCAATACATCACTGAGGGTGTTGAAGAGTTTTACCAAAAAACAAATACAAAACAGTATACCTTGGCACAGTGTACAGTATTTGGTGGAAGATCACACAAAATCTACACTCCTGTATGTCACAAGCCTACATTTTTTCATCAGTTAGTCATTTAGGACAGATATATACCTGCATAAACAAAGACAGAGCTCTGTGAATGAGCATTAAAGGTTTAGATACAAAGTAATCTATAATTACGTATATATACAACTTGCACAATCCTTTGAAAAATTATTACTAATACTCTGTTGTAACATTGACTTTACAAAGCGAAATATTTTTATGTTTTTTTTTTTCATTCATTGGTAAACTTCAGGGTTATAAAAAATTAAAAATTAAACGTGTTCAATTACATTGTATAACAATCAAAATTATTGAACAATGAATGAAACATTCAAACATTGTGTTAACATAGTATTTGAGGTGTACATCTATTTGCTTGTTTCCAGAAGATACCCTTTCCCCCTCCTTACCCATGGAAGATCATTGTGAATTGTGATGAAGAGGGGGTTCTCAAAACCCTAGTAGGAAAGTTTCAAGCTAACCTAAGATTCTTTGGGGGAAGGTCGGTTCAAACCAAAAAAACCTCCTATTGGAGGAGCATGAATATTTTTGGAACAACTCATAAATTATCACAAAATATCCAACTCAGTCTTTTAATTATCTAATCAGGTTGCATTAGCCTGGTTGCTTCCCAAGGGCAATGGGAGAAATTGAATTACAGTGTAGTGTGACAGGGAAGAAGCTGGCTGGTTATAACAGATTTAAACCTAATCCACATTGTATGCAAACAAAAGTTACTCATTGAAATATTTGGTACTTAATTTTTTTTTAATTACATATTTTTGCTGTCTTTTTCAATGAGGTCTCATGTTATCAACGTGAAATGTTCATTTACTGTCAAAACACACCCACACCGTAATAATTAGCAACCAGTTTCCTTCCTCGCAGAGAAAATTGAAAGTCCTATTTCGGCTTTTTACAGCGTAAAGAAAAACGAAAATAAAACTTGAATTTCATTTTCCTACGCAATCACTGTTAATCAAGGAGACTCGAAAATCAACTGGCACTAAGGAACACAGATTCTACAGCCACTCGGAAAATGAAGAACTGATATACAGTACAGCAAAAATCTGTGGATGGGTAACGCCCTATGCTCACTTGAAACACCTCATTCTCCTCGTTTGTTCCAAAAAAGTGACCATCTTAGAAGAAAAATCAATCCCGGGGGTAGGACTCCTATATGAATCAAACGGGGATACCCGTCCTCTCACTTTGGGGTGTAGATTTCAGATTTTGGCCTCGGTTAGGGATTTCAGGAAAAAGCGCCATCATTTTCAGCGTTTAAGGTTTCATTTAGGATTGCAAGCGAAGAAACTGCCTCCCGGTTAGCTCAATGGATAGAGCGCTGGACTGTTGTGCGGGACGTCGAGGGTTTGAGCCCCAGCCGGACCAACACTTAAGGTCTTAAAATAATTGAGAAGAATTTGCTACCTTTCTATAACATCAAGAAATGGTTAGATATTCTACTCTTCTCGGATATGGATGAATAAATGGAGGTTCTGTCTCCTGCAGGGTTGGGGTAGGAGATGTTAATTTCCCACACACGAGATTACTGTGTGATGGATGTCCTCCCCTGGTGTGGGATGGGTGGGAAGGTGAGATCGATAGACTGAAGCGGCTGCCAGAGGCGCCTGATATGCTGACGTCTGTTCTCAACCTTACACTGCACCCGTAATTCAGCCTCTGGGCTGCAAGTGGTCAGATATAAACTATATTCATATTCATATTCAAAACAAACATCATGACACCTGAGTAGACCTGGATCCGAGATATATGACCAATCAGATGGCACGTAAGAATCACAGCGCGTACGGCCTGTGATATATCCAAATTATTTCGTTTCTCCCACCGACGCAGCCCCAAACAGTTTCTTTCGAAACTATCAGCCTTTATCAAAAATACTAGAGTTCGCTTTCCAAGTTATCTTGCTTCAACGTGAAATGCCACCCTCACTCGCTACTCTTTTAAAGTTCTGTTCATGTGCAACCAGGCGTACGTTTCGAATACTCCCTTTGCTCGTTCCGCGAAATGCCGCTGTACATGCACTGCAGGCGCAAATGTAAACCTGAAATCGAGGCTATCCCTGTATAACACTTGAAAAAAAACAGCGCGAAAGTTTCGTTTTAGATTTGTTGTTGGCTCTATAAGCACTATGAACGAACCAAAGCTCCACAGAAAACATAGAAGTCTAGGGAAGCAGTCTTCAGTTGTAGCTTGTAATAATTTTGAATATCTAAGCGACGGAACACCATCGAAAATTCACTTCTTTAAGTTCACTTCTTTAATTCACTTCTTGAAGTTTCCAACCAAGCCATCGCTTCGAAATCGATGGTGCAATTTAATTAAGCGGCAGCACTGCAGAGAGGACTTTTACGTGAAACCTTCAACGGTCGTATGCGGCCATCATTTTAAGGAAAATGACCTATGCAAACCTCCGCGAGGAACGCGGTACAAGCTACGACTAGGTATGTTTTTGTATGCCCATAAGACTGCCCATAAAATGTGAGCTTTTAGTGAGCTCTTGAGTTTTATGTAAGCTATATAGAGCGTTTGCACATGACGTCACAAATTTCGCGGGAAATTTGAGTCGCCATGTTGGTGTTCCACATCTTTTAACATGGCGGCAAATCCCCTGAGCGATTGTGCTAACAACTTCGATCCACATGTGAAGAAACGTTACTGTGAAAAGATATCTTGCATTGGTATCGATCCTATTTTAATTCCAGACAAAGCATTTGATCCAGACTGTTTGCCACGGGTCGAATCCATGGATTTGGTATCATTTTTAGTGCTTGAGACAAGCTACTACAGCAAGGATCAATTTAAAGCTTTTCGGAGTTTGCAAGCGTATAATCAGCTAGTTTCAGGGTTTGTGAGCTGTGTGAAAGGGCACAAAACAGGAAAAAACTACATTGTCACTGGAAAAGTCAGGCACTCGCAAAGAATGAACGATCCGTGTGTTACATTGTGGATTATAACTGAGGAAAATGGTACTGTTCTCTTCACACACTGCGTTGGATGTATGGCAGGACAAGGAGAGTGCTGCTCGCATATCGCGAGTGTGCTCTTCTACATTGAAGCATGGAATCGTATGAACGAGAAGCTGTCATGTACACAGGTGAAATGTAGCTGGTTGATGCCTAAGGCCATCAAAGAAATTCCCTACGCGCCCGTTTCGGATATTGATTTTCGGTTAGCAAAGAAACTAAAGCAAAATCTGGATCACACTATCAACAGTTTCACAAGCGATGGAATTGCAAAGAGTGGGGAGGCGGCAAGAGTTTTGATTCCTGTGCTAGACGAGACCGATCTCAGCAATTTTTATACTGAGTTGAATTCTTGCAAAACAAAGCCTGTGTCTCTGAGCTTGATTCATCCTTTCTCTGAAACTTTTGATTCAAGGAGTAGACATATACCAACCATTCCCGATTTATTTGACAAAAAGTACTTAGACTTAGAATATCACCATCTGTTGGAGGCATGTTCAAATGTTAACATTCAAATCACGGTTGAAGAGAGGAAACTCATAGAGGAATGTACCCAAAATCAATCCCAAGGTTCCAGTTTCTATCATTTCAGAGCTGGTAGAGTTGGGGCATCAATTAGTAAAGCAGAAGCTCATACCAATCCAGCACAGCCCTCACAATCATTAATAAAAACAATATGTTACCCAGACATTTTCAGGTTCAGCAATGCAGCTACAGAACACGGTTGCAAACATGAGACCATTGCAATTAAAGCATATCGGATGGTCATGAAGGAAAAGCACACCAACTTTCATGTTAAAACTTGTGTTGCATTTATTTAAAAAATATCCCTGGTTGCATGCTACACCTGACTTTCTTTGTTATTGTGATTGCTGTGGTGAGGGGTGCGGGGAGGTGAAGTGCCCCTACTGTTTGAAAGATACAGACCTTCAAGATTACCCTGAGAAGTCTAACTCATGTTTGAAGTCAGAAAGTGGAATCACAAGTCTTAAAACAGAACATGCATACTACTACCAATCACAACAGCAAATATTCACTACTGGATACAATTACTGTGACTTTATTGTTTGCAGTTTTAATGAACAAATTTCTTTCTTTTGTGAAAGAATTCTACCAGATATCTGTCACTGGAATTCTGTTGTTCCCAAACTAACTCACTTTTGGAGATATTGTGTTCTGCCAGAAAAGAAATGTGTCTCAGCCATCATCTGTCCTCAGTTCTGTTTGCTTTTGCAGAAAGAGTACTACCGATGCTGTTGTGACATGCAGCAACCAAGCATGTCTCATTTCTTCTTTTCATTTAACCTGCTTGAAAGTCCAAGAAGTACCCTACAAGTGGTTTTGTCCTCTGTGCCAAAAAAATGCTGCAGCCAGAAATGAGAAATCGAAAGGCAAACAAACAAAGGAAATTTTGGATGAAGCTCTCAGACTGGACTGCATATGTTTATGCAAAAGGAAGCCATTGCCTTCAGATAAACTCCTGAAATGTCATAAGCCAATGTGTGAAAGTGGACAGTTTTTTCATTTGGCTTGCTTAAACTTCAAAAGGATGCCCAACAATGCCCTTACAACATGGGAATGTATGGGTTGTAAATCAGGGAGCAAAGTCAAGCTAAATAGCAAGGAAGGTAAAGATGCAAAGGCTTTTTTACATGAATGCAAGTTGGACGATGATCACTGGAATTTCAACAGGCCTTACTGAAAAGTCAGCATCCCTTGCAAATCTCAATGAGGAAGATTACAAACTGATTTTGTCCCCACACGGCTGGCTTGATTGCAATATCATTCATGCAGTACATGTATGTCTTAGAAAAAGTAACCCTGGAGTTGAGGGACTGCAGAGACCAACTTTGGGCCCCTGCAGAAACTTTAATCAGGTCAATGGTGACTTTATTCAGATTTTACACACTGGGAAAAATCACTGGGTGTGTGTAGCATCGGTGGGGTGTGGAGATGGCACATTGAATTTATATCACAGTTTATACCATAACATCATTTATAGTGAAATAGAAGATCAGGTTATTAATCTTGTTGGACAGGCAAATTTTACTGGCATTCAAGTGGTTCCTGTTCAGCAACAGCAAAATGGCAGTGACTCTGGGGTATTTGCTGCTGCCTTTGCAACTTGCCTAGCCTATGGTATACCTCCCCAAACTATGCAATTTCATATGAGCAAAATGAGAGCACATCTGTATCACTCCCTAAAGAATGGTCTATTGCAAATGTTTCCAACATTGTAATGACTTAAGATATGAAACTTCTTTTAGAAACAAAGTCGAACACTTTGACTGGTCTGTGGCAAGACTTCTTCTAACATTTATTTATCTTGGAATGAACAGAAAGTTGAATCAACAGTGAATCTCCCCAAGTTGTTCAAATTACAAAAACATAGGGCTAAGTTAGTAAATTTTATGGGAGGAATGGTTTGTTGTAAGCTGAAAAGTTTCAGGGGAATAAGGGATGGATTATTTTCCTCACTTGCAACTTCCGGCCACTTTAAACCTAGCATACTTCCCAATTAAGCTAAATTAAGCCACAGATTTGTTAATTACATAAAGTTGAATTAATAAAGCTTACTCGAAAGGGACAACAGATGGGCAAAGATTAGTCAGAGCTGAGCAAACCCTGATCATCCTGTCAATCAATGGACAGTTTGCAGCATTGTTAGAACAGGTGAGGTAATCCAATGGTAGAGTTGACTGCAAAATAGTATATTTTTGCCTCAAAAGTCCAATGACACGCTCCACGTGTATTCGCATGTTGGCAATTCCCCGTGTCCTTTCTACATCGAATGGGTCTAGTTGGTTCTTGCCTTTTGTGAAGGCCGGGGTACCTGACTGTGCTTGGTAGAAAGCAACACTTTCACTAATTGTGAACCCTCTGTCAGCCAACACTACGTCACCGGGCTTGAGGTTGTCAAGAAAACCACACCTCTCTGTTAGGTATTTATCAGAAGTCCGTCCTCCCCATGCTTTTGAAGTAAAACATACTGATCCTTGAGGTGTGATTCCAATAAGTACTTTCACTGTATTACGATGCTTATAATTCGAAAACGTCTGTGCTCTTGCAAGCAGATTGGAAGGGCGTTCTATAGAAATTTCAAAACAGTCTATTATGATTGTTGTTTTCTTTCCGAAAGAAAACTGGAAACACATTGGCATTGTACGCCACAGCTCATCTCTTTCTGGCCACCTAATGAGGGGAGATAACCTTACATCCAAAACAGTCATCCATGTAGTAAATTTTCTTGAAATAGTTGAAAGAGAGACCCCAAACCGAAAGGCGAGGTCCTGTAGCGGAACATTCAGTCTTAGTTTGATTAAAACCATAACAAACTCTTGAAATAGTGTCAGTGTTTTGCTCTTTCGACTTACAAGCGGGCTAACAAAACGAAAAGTGATGTCAAGAACATCAAAACCAGACAAACCAGTGTAAAACCGCACCCTATCTTCATTGTTTACAAAGTACTCTTCTGTAAAAGGCTGGACGACTGTCTCCTTCATTAAGTATTCAAATTCATCAGTTTGTGTTGCTGCATGAGTTTGGGTTTTTACATTAAAATCTGAGTTTACTGTCTGAGTTCCAGCGTCAGCCGTTGTTTGTTCACGATCGAGCGATGCTTCTCTTCCATCTTCTATTTCACTGATGGCTTGCCCAGCATCTGTTGCTCCATCTTGTAGGAGGTTTTCACCCAGCACAAGCTCCTCGTAAAAAGGTATTTCTTCAATAATCTCCCCCGGCTCGTCAATTTTGAGCATTTTCTCTGTTATCGTTGTTTCAAGAAACTCAGATCGACGTTGTCGTCTTTCGGCAGCTCTTCGAGACCGAGCTTCTGCTGCCTCAGAGTCTTTCAGTTGTTGTTTAGAATGCCCAAGGCACAAAGTAGGGCACCAACTTGATACTTCAATAGTTTAAATGATACTTCAAGATTACTTTAAGCTTTGGTGTTTATATTTTTCAGGAGCAGAGCCATCCATATTCCATAGTCGTAGAGTTGTGCGAGGTTGAACGACGATATATTTCGCAAGTCCTTGCTCCACTCACATCCCCGAGAGGCTTGATCTCTAGACAAAACTTCGTACGTTATTTCGTGGTCACTTTTGGTGTTCGAAATCAACGATATCAATGGCTGTTCTTGTTTTGAAACGTTGCCAGGCTCGACGCAGACC